GGGAAAGTATTTGGGTAGGAAACAGGATCAATGGGAATAAAGCACAAAGGATAAGTAGGAATAAAGCAAAGGCAGTCCAGGTCAGGGACAACATCAAAGAGAAGGCAAGCAGGTGGGCGCCTGTTTAGTTGGGAGGCAGTGGGAAAACCAACCTGGATAAACCACAGGGCCAGGAGACCTGAAAGAAATATGGATGAGAAAGGTAGGGCTAGTTCACAGAGCAACTTGAAACCAGACTAACAGGTACTGATTTGGGGTCTTCAGATGTCTTTATCAAACTACAAATATCCAGGAAAAGAACCAAGGAGTAGAAGGATGAGGAGGGGGCCCATAGCCAGTATAGGTGGGACACAGTATTGTGTGTTCTACTATATGTGACCGCAAGAGAAAAGGAATATGATCTGCCAACATCAGCTGGTAACTTTCAGTTTTGGGTTCTATCTTGGGCCCTAGGAATGCCCCAGTAGAATGAGAGCCAGAACAAATACATTCTGATACAGGGTGAGGAGAAGAGGGATAGAAGGAACTTAAGCCAAAGCCCACACTTGATGGATAGTCAAGACTTGAGCAAGGACTTCTAAAAGAGAGTAGCAGAGGCCGAAACCGGTTTGGCTCAGTGGATAGAGCGTCGGCCTGCGGACTGAAAGGTCCCAGGTTCGATCCGGTCAAGGGCATGTACCTGGGTTGCGGGCACATCCCCAGGAGGTGATGTGCAGGAGGCAGCTGATCGATGTCTCTCTCTCATTGATGTTTCTAACTCTCTATCTCTCTCCCTTCCTCTCTGTAAAAAATCAATAAAATATATTTTAAAAAAAAAAACTAAAAGAGAGTAGCAGAGAAGATAAATTTCCCCCAATTCACAATTTTGCCAATGACTGGTCCTTTAAATGCACATACCCTCTTTCTGGCCCAGTAAAAGTTTTATTCCTTTGTTGAATGAATGAATGCTCTTTGGATCTTACAATCAAAATCAAGATGTGAGGAAGACTCTGGAGACAGCTTTGCAGGAAGTAGGTCAGGAGAAGAATGAAGGGTCTTCATGTAAGACCAACTGAAGGCTTCTCTCAGCTTCCAGAACACATTGGTGTATATGGGGAGCAAGCAGTCATTCCAAAGTTCACTCCCCCTTCAGGACCTCCCTAAGGCCAAGGTGCCTGGAGTGAGCAGTGGAGTGGAAAATAATTGTTATCACCAAAGAAGTCTCTGTAGAAAAGTTGCTGTGAAACTGGAATAGGTGTGTCTTTCTGACCTTCCGGGTTTTTTATAGGCACTACAGGAATCGGAGTGAGGGCCTCAGTCCTTCCGCCCATTTGGGGAGAGAATAAAGAAGCTGAGGTTGTCTCCTTCTTACTCATTGGCAGTTACAACCTCGCAGTCACCACAGCCTCAGCTTCCAGTGTGGACACAGAGAAGGTAAGTCGGAATGAAGGGACCATGCCCTCAGCTGTAAACCTGGGTCACTCCAGCCATCTGGCTTGGGAATAACTGAAGAGGAGAAGAGCTAGGAGTATTCGATTACAAGGTACTTTTTTCCAAATGAATATGTGGAATTTTTTTCCTAGACAACCTCTGTAAAGACATAGATTTTGGTGCTAAACTATCCAAAAAGTTATTTAAAGGCAGGGACCATGTTGTATTTGTTCATTCTTTGATGAACAAATAATAAATATTGAACAATAACATGATGCATTGAATTGACTTGAATTTAAAGAAGGAACAGTCATTAATATTACTTGGAAAAATCACCTGTCTGTCTCCCTCAAGCAGTGCATCAGTGTCTTGAGTGATCCAATGATCCATTAATGTCGACAGCCCTTGTCCTGGAGCCTGATTTAACTGGAATCCTATAGATCATGCATACCTTGTCAAACACACCAATTTATGAAAAAGATTCTGAATTAATTTCAAAAAGCCTTGTAACAAAGAGACTGTAACATAGAAATGATGAATTATCTGGAAAGACTGTTCCGTCTTCCCAGCAGGAGAGAGCTAGGATAGTTTTGAGGGCTTGATAGTTTGGGGTTATTTCATTTAGTATGTGCAGATGTCTTTATTTTAGACTGAGAGACATTATAGTGACATGCATATACTTAACATGCATTCTTTTGGGTAGATGTAAAGTCATAAGCTAGTCTCATCTTTTTTCTGCAGGAAAACAGAAGTCCGTTCTCGTGAGGTCCACTTACAGTCACCATGTATGAGGACTACAGCCAGTCCACTGGGGACTATTATTTCCTCTGTGACACAGAGGGGCCATGGGGCATCGTGCTGGAGTGCCTGGCAATAATTGGCATAGTGGTTACAATTATTCTGCTCCTGGCATTTCTCTGCCTCATGCGAAAGGTTCAAGACTGTTGCCTGTGGAATGTCCTCCCCACCCAGGTCCTCTTCCTCCTGGGTGTGCTGGGGCTCTTTAGCCTTGCTTTTGCCTTCATCTTCCAGTTCAATCAGCAGACTGCCCCTGTACGCTACTTTTTCTTTGGGGTTCTCTTTGCTCTCTGTTTCTCATGCCTCTTGGCTCATGCCTCCAACCTGGTGAAGCTAGTCCGCGGTGGGGTCTCCTTCTCTTGGACGACACTTTTGTGCATTGCTATTGGTTGTAGCCTGTTGCAGACAATCATTGCCATTGAGTATGTGACTCTCATAATGACCAGATGTATGATGTTTGTACAAATGGCACCCTGTCAGCTCAATGTGGACTTTGTGGTACTCCTGGTCTATGTCCTTCTCCTGATGGCCATCACCTTCTTCGTCTCCAAAGCCACCTTTTGTGGCCCGTGTGAGAACTGGAAGCAGCATGGAAAGTTCATCTTCGCCACTATGCTCATCTCCATCATTATCTGGGTGGTGTGGATCTCCATGCTCCTGAGAGGCAACCCACAGCTCCAGCGGCAGCCCCAGTGGGATGACCCTGTCGTCTGCATTGCCCTGGTCACCAATGCATGGGTGTTCCTGCTGCTGTACATCATACCTGAGCTCTGCATTCTCTACAGATCGTGTAAACAGGATTGCTCTGTACAGGGCAACGCCTGCTCAGCCCCCGTCTACCAATGCAGCTTCAGAGCGGAGAACCAGGAACTCTCAAGAGGTACTTTCCTGGGGGTATTCAGAGAGCAGGGAGGTTCTTCTGTGGGAGAAACAGGAGAGACGTAGGACAAGAGGCTAGCCAAGAGGGAACAAAAAGGGAGTGGTCAGAATTTAGTGGATGGCTAAATAGTTCAAGCATGGAAATGAAGACCCCAGAATCAAGGTTAAACTGTTATGAAAAATGAGTTCTTCCAAAATACAGAGCGACCAATGGAATGAGACCAAGACAGAAATGAATCAAAGGCCCTAAGTGAAGAGGGTGTGGCTCTAGTGCTCATGCTGGGTAAAGAGAGGCACCCACTATAAAATGAGCTAATCAGCCCCAAATTAGGCTTGCACCACGCAACTGCATGGCATATAATGCTAAATCCAGATGTTGTGGCTGTCAAGTACAAAAGTCAATCCTGGCAACAGTGATTGACATTTTAAAAGTTAGGTCTCAAAGTTAATTTGCCCAAACATCATAATAAACTGATTTGCAGGACTCATCACCTCGTTAAAGTCACAAAGCCCAATAACTCTGGATCTCTGCTTTTCAAAGTGTTCACTGCTTAAAACCCTTCAGGGTTTACAAAAAGGGACAGGAAGAGGCATTAAATTAGAATCCCGAGTAAAGGCACAGATGTACAATCATTAATAGAAATAAAGCAATGTGCTTCTGTGACATTTTCATGATAATTTCTAGGTCACATTTTGATCCTTATGTAAGAGCAAGCCACCTGACTATCCTTTATTAAAGAATAAAATATATTGTCCATGCCAATAAGGAGGCTTGGACACCAACAACCTGGGGAAAATGGTGGCTAATTTCAGTCATCTGGAAATATGTCAAAATTCTTTATTTCCTTTCTAAAACATCTGGCATATTATTCATAACCAAATGTCATAGTTGTACATCAATTCCTGTGTCTTAATAGGCATCTGATTTCTCACAATTTATTTCTAATGTGCAAAGATGATGCTATTTAATAGACTGCAAAGCAGGCTCAAAAAATTAATAGAAGCTTTCCTTTCAAGTGCATACACTTTTTAAAGCTGTAATCTATGGCTAATTACACATTCCCATTAAATCCTTCTCAGATAGATGCATCCATTAATTCTTTTCAGTTCAGATGACCGAGAGTCAGACCCTGACAGTATATATCCTTCCGATAGCAGTTTTTCATTGCTTGACAATGCTGTGTAATCAGCTCGCTGAGGTTTGTGGCAGAACTGCCAAGTCCATCTTTCTTGAAACTACTTCTCATAGTTCTCACCAGAAGACAGGATAAAACTTCCTGTGTTTGTTTTATTGTTGTTTCATGTTTCCAGGAAACAAAAGTCAGAGAGAGGAGAGAGAGAGAGAGAAAGAGAAGTCTTAGTTTCATAAACCCCAAACACACTGGAATTGGTAATGATCAATATTCCATACCTCAAAAATATTGGGCCAGTGTTTAAAGTTGTCGAAGGAGTGTCCTGGTGGAAGAGCAAGAGCTTGCAAACGCGCAGTGTTTCCTGGGACTAGCCCTATTCCTTGAGCATGGTTAGAAAGTCCATTTCTGAGAAGAAAATAGCCTGCCAGTGATAGTCAGTGTCAGCGTAGTTTGATACTTTGTTGGGCGGGGTGGAGGGGACAATTGTGTAGTAAAGAACACATAGATTGTGCTCCAAACTCGGGCAGAATAACCAGAACCTTCAGTTTTAGAGAATGGAATCAGAATTTAGGTCACCTGGAAAAAGTACAAATATCAAATATTAGAAAAAATGATTAAAATTCAATAAAAAGTACAGGATTACACCTAGCTAGGAAAAACATACAAAGAGACACAAAATAGAGAAGAACCAGGCAAGTATCGTATAATAAGTACAGTATAATAACAATTACTTGAAAAATCCTAAGTGTGTCATAGGTCATGAGCTGACAGTGGGACAGCAGCTTAGCACTCTTTGTTTTTGTTTGCTCAGGAAACAATCACCGTTCTATATAAACAGACATGTGGTCAGCAAGAACAACCAGGCCATTGTACTCATCATGGGTCAGTCTCTAACAAGAACACCCCTTCCAGTCCTGGGATCCACTAATGAGAAGTGCGGGGAACGTGGAGAGGTTTCGGTGGGAAACCACAATGATGATTAAAGGGTTAGAACGTCAGGCCTCTTCGGAAAGACTAAGACAATGAAACTAAGATGGCCGTTCTGGATGTGCCATTCTCGCCGACTGTTTAAATTACCTCTCTCTCAGTTCTGTACTAAAACATGACATCTTGTTTGGGTCTGTGAAGTATGCGTTTGTTATGTGACTCTTCTGATTAATACTGTTTGTTGCTGTGGCTCCAGCCACATAATTATTTGATTTACCACTGGGTTGTGGGACCAGAATTATTCAACTGCAAGGAGAATAAGCCAAGAGGGAATTAGCAGGGAATTTCACACAAGTATACAAACCTCTCTCCCAGAGACTGTTGTCCTGTTATTTTCTGTCTCCAACTGAAGACAATGGGTAGAAATGGACTCAAACCAAAGCATGGGGGATTTAGATGAAATAGGAAAATAAGGGTTGGTAAACACTGAAACAGATCAGCAAAGGGGATTAAGGACCCCATTTCCCTGGAAGGCTTTCGAAAGAAGATTAGGCTTTATCTCTCTGAAGTGGCTTACGGACTTAACTCCAAGATATAAAAACATCTGGATGAAGAATGACAATGCAGTCATGTTGCCACAGGACACCAAACAATTGGGTATAAATATTCTATGCCCTGTTACAAATGTGTTCCTAAAAAGCAGTATATTGATTGATCTTTTTAAATTAGTTGTTCTGTTAACTGAGAATTTTAAATGTGATAGAATTTGCAGAGACCTTAAGTATAGTAGAATATCAGCTATGAATCATTTTTAGGATGGGAAAGCTCCTTTTATAATTATTGCCTACTTTACCTGTTTTAGACTAATTAGAATATAGTTGTATCAGGCTTGGTAAAAGCAAGACCCATGAATATTTGAAAGTATCACATTATTGTGGGCATTTTTCTGTCCAGTGTTTGAATGTGTACAAACAAACCTCATATTATTTCATTTGAAGGTTTTAAGACAAAAATAGTAAGTCCATGTAATATAAAAATGGGTCAATGACTATAAAATAATATGAACCAAGAGAAAAATGTTTTTGCAAACATAGGCCCTTTGGGTTGTTTTCCTTATAGCAACTCCTCACTTTTGCTGAACATAGTTCTTTCTGAGAATTCTCAACAATTTTTTCTTCAAGGCACCCACCTTACTATGAGAAACCCAATTTGAATGGTCCCAGGGGGTATGACTTTCATTTGTTCTTTCATGGGAACAAATTGCAAACCCGCTCTATTGTCACCCTCAAGAGAGAGAACTGGCATAAAGCGGGGAGGAAGGCAGTGAGCTGCAGAATTGGGCTCCTCTAATTTATGATCTGGTCTGATAAGACTGTTGGATAAACATTGGTTACCAAGGGGTTGAATATGAAGGAGTCTTGTTATGCCACAAGGAACAAAGTTAAACCAAAAATTCAGTTCATTCTCCTGTGAAGGAAAAAAGAGCCTTTCATATATCACCGGATCCAACCCCTCTAAAAAAGGCCAGTAGGAGGATGCCAGAGCATCATTTATAACTATGCCACCAGCACTACCACCAATAATAAAACACAAAGGATAGCACTGTGGTGGTTTTTATATAGCATAACCTATTCCAAGGGCTTTATATCTATTAGTTGATTTAATCTCCAAAACAAACCAATGACATAGATTTACTGTTTTGATCATCATGATCCCTCTTTTACTTCCATCAGGAAACAAAGGCAACCATCAGTTAAGGAATTGGGCCCTGGGTCACACAGCTAACCAATGAGAGAGCAGAGCTAACTCTACAGCCATGAAGTGTGAATACTAGTGGCCTAGCTATGCCTGTAACCATCAAACAACAAACATTTATCGAGTCAGGGCCTAGCCTTAGAGACAAACACAGCTACTTTCTTCATAAAGCTACAGTCCTGTTGAGGAGACAGAAATTCAACAAATTACTACATGTGTGACATTCTACAACAATATAAAATTGTCTTTAATGATGTTTTATATCATGTCCAGTTTTTTTACATCGAATCAAAATGTGTAGTGTCAAGCCTCAAGAGACTTTAGAGATGACTTGGTTGAGGTTTTTTATTTTGCTGTTGAAGACAGTGAGATGCCCTGGTCTTGTGGCGATACTAGAGAGCAAAGGCTCGGACCCAGTGCCCGTGTTTTTTCTCTAGAAAGCAATGAGGAATCTTCAGCCCCTTTAATTACTAACCACCGATGAGCTTCTCCTGAACACGAAAGGCTCTCCATAGACAATCTTCCTCAGAAGCTTTAAAAAATACTCTTTTTTTATTACAGATTTTTTGTTGTTGTTCGAACAGCCTCAATGGAGAATTCCTTTTTAAAGGGCCAAGAGCCTCTTTGCAAACCATGAAATCTTCTCCTAGTCCTCGTGTGCTGTTTCCCAGTGAAGCTCTGACACTAACCCAGCCCTTCCCTCCTTTGGCTTTCAGCCCGAGACAGTGATGGAGCTGAGGAGGATGTAGCATTAACTTCATATTCAGCTACAGGTAAATGTGCTCATCTGCGTTCACCAGAGAGGCCCAGAGCAAGCACTCCCACCTTAGGAGAGCGGTCAGGCTTTGTCTCCCATGGCTTCTACTGACCTGAGAGAGGAGTGGCAGGGCAGGGTCATCCTTACAGGCATGTGGAGCTAGAGCCTTCTAGATTAAACCATACCAGAGTGGCACAATAGAGGCAAGTCAGGCCTTTTGCCTCTGCCCAAGCCCCTCCCAATCCTCATCGCCAGGGCCATCAACAGTATATTCTGGTGCAGTGAGTGTCCCTGGAAAGAAAAGGTAGCTTGAGCAGAGAAGCGTTGCAGAGAAGCGTGCTCACCGCTGTTTGCCCTAGGCACAAGAGCAGGGGATTGTAAGTATATTTTTAGTATCAGCTATTGAAATGATCCCCTGAGCCCCACTGGCTGCCTGTCTGAGTCACTGTCCAGCTCCAGCTGTCCAGGCTGCCCCAAGAGCTGGGCTAGGTCTTGACATCATCATCTGCATGTCCAGATGGATGTACCAATTTTAATCCTTCTGGGCAAAAACAGAGGGAACACTACTGAGTAGAATTGGAGGAAACTTGTTTTTGTGCTGAGATGGCCTGAAGTCACACAATCCAGACACAATTCTTATACTATGGGGATCAGAAGTAACTAAAAGGCAAGAGTGAAAGTCACAAACTGTACTAGGCAACTCTAGGCTAATCCCTCTGGTCTGTTATCTGAGAGTCGGCCTTTCCCTGGAATGACGCACAGTCCAGGACATAGCTGTATCATTTGCTATAATTAACCCTCTGGGGGGCCTTTACACAATGGGAAAATCTTTAGTATCCCCTGTGAGACTTTCTTGGGTTACTTTCAACTTCCGGTGATCAGCTATTCAAGAATCTTGCAGAGATTCTTGTTAATGACTAAGAGTAAAGAAGTCCTGATATGGGTAGGCTCAATGTTTTTTTTTTTCCTTTTTTATTAAGAAAGCATTCAGTGATGGTGAAATAATAATATTTTAAGCATAGTTCTAGAGACTATCACTCCCTATTTTGGCTCAGAAAATTTATGACGGCATTTCTTCCTTTCTAGACTGTTGATCTCACACAAGAGTATGTCATCCCAAGGCTAAACTCTGATGCAGAATTATAAAGTCCCCAGGAATCATGAGTAGTGAAAACCCAGAAGACCATCCTAATGTAGCCCTGGTGGGCCGCTGGGGAGCCCACAGAATCACACTGCCAACAAATATCGCTTCATCCTTCCTGCTCTGCTTCCTGGTCCTCTCCATCCATCTCGACGCTTCATCAGAAGACTGCCTGTTCAAGCATAATTACAGTCTTGCTGGCCACCCTACCTGACTATGTGTCTCTTCATTTTGTAACTGAAAGCTTCCCTTCCTTAGCAATGCTAGAACAAATTAGTTCCTCCTACCAATGGGACTGAAAGACCCTGGTCTGAAGAAATTAGGGTCACGCTAATCTGACAAAGTCTAGAGGTCAGTAGCAACTCACTTTTGGAATACTCTTCTAGTCATTTTTGTTTATTTGTTTGTTTTGTTAATCCTCGCCCCAAGGATATTTTTCCATTGATTTTAGAGAGAGTGGAAGGAAGGGAAGAGAGATAGAAAAAGAGAAGAGAGAAATATCGATGTGAGAGAAACACATGGATTGGTTGCCTCCCACAGGCACCTGCCCAGGGTCAGGAATCGAACTTGCAACCCTGGTACATATGTGCCTTGGACAGGGAATCAAACCCGAGACCTTTCGGTGTACAGGCCAATGCTCTAACCACCAAGAAACACCAGCCAGGGCTAGTCACTTTTTATAAAGGGCCCTTACATATCAGTGACCCAGCATTTGTGATAAAAGTCAGAGCAGAATCCTCAGGATCCCACAGTTGGGTATTTCAAATAACGCAGACATTTCATAGACTTGGAGGCTGGCAGGCTCTCTCCCATGATGTCTGCACCCCAGACAGCGAGTATGATGGCATATGCGGCTGAGGTCAGTGACCTGCTTTGATGAACCAATAACAGCAAAGAAAGAGCCACCCAGTTGATGCTCATAAAGGATTTTAGGTGCTGCACATAAAAAGCAGGGGCTGCCTGTCTTGAATTTTGTAATGAACCGATGCCTCTGCACTAATTACTCTGCCTTCATTCCTCATGCAGCCCCACGTCCTTCCCCATGGATTCACCTGTCCTTAGTACCCGCTTGTAATATGTAGCAAGGTAGACCAGGACAGAGTCAGAGGTGTGCTGCCAGAAGGGTTCTAAGGATCTCATTCAGCCCAATGACCTTGCAGAGGAGGAAGCAGAACCCTAGAGAGATGGAACGACTTGCCCCAAATCACACAGTAGTTAGTGGTTTTCCAACACATAGACAACTCTTTTTCCCACTCCTGGAAGCTGTCCATGCCTATATTTCTGTATTTACAAGGAAGGTGTGCTCCTCCCCTGAGAACCAAATGGGATATTTCAGACCAGTGAGTGTTGAGCGCTGCTGTGTAAAAGATCTTTGAAAAATAGCTAAGACTCCATACATGGGAAGAAAAAAAAAGCCTTTTTGATGACCAATGTACAGCATGGACTTCTTCAATGTCAGCAGTATCTCCTGAGCATGTGCAGGGTACCCGGAACCATTCTCAGGCTCGGTCCTGGGCAGACAACGCTGCTTTGGTAGATCTATGTTATTTGTGGGGGAGATGACACAATGCGAAGAATGTTTTTTATTTTTATTGATTTTTAAAAAGAGAGAAAGGGAGAAGAAAAGAGAGAACAAAACGTCGATTGGCTGCCTCCTGCACATCCCGTACTGGGATTGAGCCCACAACCCAGGCATGTGCCTTGACAGGGAATGGAACCGATGACCTTTAGTGCATGGGATGCCCAACCAACTGACCTACACCAGCCAAGGCAACAGCTCTCTCCTTTTAGAGATGAGGAGAGGGACTGGCCCAGGATAACATGGCTTGTTAGAGACAGAACCAACTAGAATCCAGCTCCCCAGCTTCTGTTCAAATGCTCACCTACACAATGTTCCATTTTCGTATATTTTTCTGCTACCCTCAAATTAACTGCTCCTTTTTAAAATCTGTGCCCTGAACAATGTTCTCAGCACAAACCAGTACCTAGGTTACGTGACCAGAGTTTTGCCTTCTGCTTTTAATGGTAATAAGAAAAGAAAAAACACACAAAACATTAAGCCTCGGACCTATTGATTAGGTGACATACTACTTAACAAACCACATAAAGACCCTAATTTGAGAGGGAACAGCAATCCATGCAATCTCCCATCTCTGGAAGAAAACCATCATCTCTGATTCTCCTCGTTTCTAACCCCCAAATGATAGCAATGACACCTTTGACATAATTTTGTTTATTTTGTTTGTTTTACAGGCAGGAAATGTTTCTGTTGTCAGCTCACAAATTTTAATGAACACATTGAGGCCATATATGAGAGCTCATACTGTTTCCCAAAATGTTTTTCCTAAAATTAGTAAAGATAAAATTGAACATCTTTGTACCAAATTGCCTCTGACGTGTATATAGAACAATTTAACCAAATGTTGGGCTATGTTTAGTGAGATTTGGGGGGCTGTATGTTCCAAGTATTTCATTCAGGCTGTTTCAGGAATGAAGTTGTACTGTAAGGTTACACATGGCAGCAGGGAGACAAAACTTTCTCTGGGAACCCAGTATAGTCACTCATCTGGCTTCATCTAGATCTAGATGGACTGCTGTCAGGCATTGGGAGGAGCTTGTTGTCCCCTGCCCTGGTCCCACAACTCCTCCTTAGCCACTATCAGCTGACTGACTTTCTCCCTATATGTCATAATTCAGACTCCTAAGAGGGGGTCTGATTGGTCCAGCTATTCATCACTGTCTCTGATTGGTAGCTCTTTTGCGTTGTTCCTCCTCTTAATTTACAGTCAGCCTGTGGATTGGATGCCCTTGGGTCCAGTACCCACCATTGGTCCATTCAGCTGGGTTGGTCATGTGGTACAGACTTGGTCACATATGTCTGCTCCCTAGTGAGAAGTGTTCTCTGGGCAACAGGGGAAGGCATAACATGCATCATGACTGACCAACTCAGGAGAGATTAATCCAGGAAAATAAAATTTTATTAAGTTATAGAATATTTTAATGAAAATACAATTTTATTCCTTTTGAGTTTATGAAGCAATTCACATAAAGCTAAAAACCCCAATAGTCTTCTAAGTTGAGATTCATGAGGAACCATTTAAAAGAATAAATAAAATTATGATTAGCCTATTGTACTCAATTACTCAATTCAATAAGTATTACTTGAAAATCTAAACTCATTTACTTATATGTAATGGGTTATATAATTTGAAAGGCACTTATTTTCTTAAGTATTTTAAATAGTCCTCTTCTGATTTTATTTATTTATCCAAAAAAAAGGGCATCAATGAAAAACTTCACTACAAAATACCTTCCTGATGTAAATGGCTGGTTAGCTCAGTTAGAGCACAGAGCTAACAAAATATTTGCCTGGGTAGGTATTATTTAATATATCCTTCATCTTGATGCTTTTTTTCCTAATTCAAAGAGCATCAAAGGTTTATGTCCCTCCACATTAAATCTCATAATATCCCCATAAACTTAAAGGGTCTCTACTTATCATCCCTTATTTCAACCTGTGGTGTGGTTAGGCTAACTTTCCCTCACTCTCTCTACCCATTATTTCTTCATTCTTCTTTTACATCAATGCTCCCTTTTCCTAGGATTATATCTTCTTCATATTGGTCAGATTTGTGCCTTTTTATCTTACTTTTCATCCTCCCACAATCAGTTCTAACCCTGCTTTTTCTCAGAAACTTCCTCTGAAGACATGGGGACACAGGGTTGTCACTCACCAAGACCAACTTAACTTATGGCACAATGAGGTTCCCTTTTTTCTCTTCACACTTAGATAGTAAACAAGATACTTCTGTAGCACCTTTCTCAGAATAAGCCTAATCATCTATTTTAAAAGCACACACTGAGAAATAAACTAGAAGATCTATGTTGTTTCCTTGGTAGAAAAGCCTCTGTATTTTGCACTTGAGGGAGATGCTTCTCAATTAACATTAAATGGGAGCGATCAGGAAGACCTTGACTTTGAGAAGTAATACTTGACATCTGAATAAAGAAAGACTTTCCTTGGAATTGTTAAAAATGTCTTAATGGCTCAGGCCAGTTTGAAGCTACTGGTCTCTTCTGAGAGATCATGTTTGCTGCTCTTCAAAGATAGATTAGCTAGAATTAAGTTTGCATTTTAACATATAGCAGAACTCGCTTACTTAAAGAACTTCAAAGTGGCTACCTCAGGAGACACAGAGATGCACTATTGCTTAAACTCTGATTAGAATGCCTTTCCTGGACTGCCTTCAAGGATGTCTCAAGGAAATCAGTGAGGCTGGATTACTATGGGGGTTAAACTGTCCGATTGAAGAAGTGAGTTGAATGATGAATTTCTAATATTGATCTTATCAAAATACTCCCCCATGTTTTAAATCAAATAGAAAAAGTTAATATAAACTCTCAAGCCTGGCTGGGTAGCTCAGTTGGTTGGAGCATGGTCCCAAAGCCAGGGTTTCGGATTCGATCCCCGACTGCGGCACATGCAAGAATCAACCCATGAATGCATAGATAAGTGGACAACAAATCAACATTTGTCTCTCTCATATTCTCTCCCTTTTTCTCTCTAAAATCAATGACTAAAAAAATTATAAGTAAAATAAACTCTTGAAAAATCTCGAGCACCTCATTGCCTAATCTGTTTGCAGCCTTGGTCAACCCTCATAAACCCATGAGTGGACTGTGACAGCCACACCAGCCTGGGAACCCCAGCCTGATTGGGAGCAATTGCTCCTGTTGCAAAATAACACAGGATTATAAAGCAAACACACCAACACAGCCTGTTTTATAAAATTTTGATGTGTTGTTTATCATGGACTTTTTTTGCATTAATTTTTATTATTAAATTTTTGTATAAAATATTATTGATCGTGATTACTGAGGGTTTGGACACTCCCTTGAATTCTGTGCCCAAGGTAAGTGCCTCGCTCTCCTAACCCCAGTCCTGCAGATCAGACTTGCCTCCTGTGGAAGGGTGTGAGCGGGGAAGGAGAGGGAGCCCTAGCTGCACAGTAGAATCACCTGGGAAGTTTTAAAAGCTCTCCATGGCCTGACCTCACCACAGACCAATTACATCAGAATTTCTGGGAGTGGAGCCCAGGCATGGTTATGTTTTAAAATCTTTCCAAATGATTCTGTTTTGCAGCCTGAGTTGCAAACCACTGCCATAAGCAGATAATTAGAATTGGATGGAAGGAATTAGAAAGAGAGAGACATCAGGATCCAGGCCTGGGTAACTAAGGGGGTGAGGGTTCCACTTATAGAAGAAGTAACCCAGGAGGCGAGCTCAGGAAGAGAAACAGGTGTGGGGTTGGAGAGGATAGCAAATGAGTACAGAGTTGAACCAGTAGAGTGTGACGTGGAAACACACAGATGAAGAGAAGGCTGTGAAGTTCCAAAAGACAGAGAGAAAGATTCAGGAATGAGCTTAGAGGTGGTGGAGGAAATTGTGGGGGGAGAGGTGATTGGATTGGGAGCATAAAGAGAGGCCTCGAAAATGCCTAGAGGTGGAGAAGGCTGCTCCCTCCCTACAGGGATTCTCTCCTGATACCTCTGCCTCCACATCCAGTTCCACCTTTAACACTGGGGCATCTCCACCAAGGTCCCGTTTGCAGAACCACATTCTAGCTCTGAATGAGTAAACCAAGAGAGCATACTGAGATTCTTCAAAGATTGGAAAGGCAGCTGCTGGGGCTTGCCTGGAAGATGGGTGAATCAGCAAAAGAAGGAGAAATGGGGCCAACTATCCAATGCCTGTCCCCAGACCTGCCTAATCAGCACAATCAGCTGGGGTACTTGTTACACATAAAAATGTTCATACCGGGGCCCAGACCTACTCACCCAGAACCTGCAGGAGGGGCCCTGGGATTCCTCGTTTTTAAGTTCCTAGGTAACTCTTAAGATTGTGTGAGTTTGGGAAGCACTGTTCTGTTGACAAGAAATGGCTTCCTCTGTGCTCTGGTTTGTAACAAACACCGTCCAGGCTTTGCCAATTTGGCCCCGGAAGGCAGAAAGGGATTGGCTTTTATGGCACAATCAATGGAAAGATTTTCTGTCAGTCAGGCCCTTGGGGACATTCAGCTTCCAATTTGCATCTTCCTTTCTCCCCTTGTCTGGTGTAATGTTCGGTCCATCCCCACCCCACAGCTGCTGCATCGTCACCATCCAGGACACACCGCCTGCTTCTCCTAAGAGAATATGTGACCAGAAGCAGCTCATTGCCCTGAAATTTAGGCAGATAAACCCTTCCTGAGCCTATTTGCTGGCAGCCTTATCTCCTTCCGGCTTGGTTTATACGGTGTGAGAGGTCCTTGTTCATCCATTTGGTTCAAGTCAGTTTAGGAAAGTAATGCACTTGGGGAAAAGGACTGCACTTGATCTTTGGGGGATCCATCTGAAAGACTTCTCTGCTGTTTGGCTCTGAAGCATGCGTCTCTCTTTCTTCACATTTTGAAGTTTGTTCTTGTGTAATTCTCCTAGGAGACAGCACTTTGCCAAGCTTGACAGAGAAAAGCTTTGGGGAAATAAAAACTTGGACTTGATGAAAGGCATTCAGTCCAAAGAGTAAAAAGAAGTTTCTTTCTTTCCTCCAAGCCTCGGGCTTGTGAGTAGCTTTTATCACATTGGTTTTCCGTGTTCTTTTGTGAAAACAAAAAAAACTGATATGCGGATCAGCTGAAGTTCATCAGAATTATTTAAGGATAAATTGGCACAGAAAACACAAGGGGGGAATCTGACAGTGGTGTTCTCAGAGTGAGATGCCATAATCTTAATTGTGGCAAAAGAACACAAAATGAACAGATAAATTTTTTGGTCCCCGAAAGTTTATTCGCTCCTGAACAAATGCTCCTATGTGTGCATGCGCTGTGCCAGCCCTTGCCAATACAGAAGGAAACAAAACAATTTCTGGTCTTCCAGAAATATACAGAATAATGGGAGAAAAACAAGTAAAAAACAACAAGTAAACGTAATTTCAAAGTATAAATCCTCTGAAGGAAACTGGCTGGCTGTGGGAGGCCTCACTACGGAAGTGACCTTTGGGCTGAGATGCAAATGTTCTGCAGGACAAGAGTTTGGGGGCAGTTGGAAAGAGTTGGGGGGAGACTCCAGTGGGAGGCATTTTGAGCTGGGGGCCCTCAAAGGAAGGACTTCTGGAAAAACTTGTCCTGACCAGAGTGACTGGAACCATTGAGAACTCTAACTTGAAGGATCAGAACCAAGGAGGGCTGGCAGACCTGATAACAAGCAACAGGTGCCTGGATCGGATTAAAGGATGGTGAGATGTGCTTGCCTGGGCTCTGGGGCAGTCAGGCGGGGTCTGAGGGTCACAATACATATGAAGCTTTTTAAGACAGGAATGACTTTCTGGCTGAAGAGGCACCTTGAGAAAAGCAGGGATCTGGGAAGCCGTAGAGAGTGACAGAATGCCATTGGGTTGTGACACAACCCAAAGGGCACATGAGAAAGTGTGGAAATCCAGGTCTTAGGAATGGGTTGCTCAGCCAAGTAGGGGACAGTTGGTGGCATGCATTCCTCCTCAGAGATACAGTCTTCAGATTTGCTACCTATTTGCAAGGAGCTGTGTTTTATGTGGCTTGGTAATGTATCTGCATGTGGGCAGTGGTTAGGATTAAAGATAATGGTTTCATCTCACTTACAGAATGGCCCTCTGTACCTTGCAATGACATCTGATCTGTGCATATATGGATATGTAAGTGTGTGTGTGAGTGTGTACATGTGCTCACACATCCCCAGCAAACACCTCACTCACATACTAGGGAGTTCAGAGACTCCCACTATCTCTAAAAAAGATATTTGAAGAGCATAAAAACTTCTGCATTTATCCTTTATGCAGAATTGATAAAGAACTATTTTTCTCCCTATTCTCTTAAAATGAAATCTTACACACCCACACACACACACACACCAGTGTCCTGGCAAAAACATACAGGCACCAATTTGGTGTGTCATTGCCACCAGGTATGTTAGGAAAACAGAAGAGCAGAGGACCCAGCCAGTGCCTTTGAAGGGGCTTGGGGTGGGTTGGAGTCCAATCAAAAGAAGCCCATTCTGTGCACAGCAGGTTCTGTGCCTTTGGAGGCTGCTTCTCCTCACATCGTCCCCCTCTCTCATGATGTGGCTGGGACCTTCGGGAACTTACAGGAGGATATGTAGCTGCTCTCACTAGAAGGTTCTGTGATGAGGCTAAGCCCCTCTGCCCAATGTCTCAGACAGTTCATGATACTCTGGGAATTATAACTTAATGTTCTCCTGAATTTCTGACTCTTAAGACTTTAACTTCACCTTAACATAATTTTCTCTTTATTATTTTGCCAGGGCTCTGATTTTACAACCCTTCCTCCTACCTATCAGCCCGCTCTTTCCCATCCCCTCCTCACCCTCACTCCACTCATTGTCCCCCACTCAACCTTGGTCCTCTCCTCTATGTCCCTCTCGTCTAGGTAAGTCCAGTCAGATGCTCCCTCTGACCCTCACCCTGGTTCCCAATGTTCATAGAATTCATGGGCTTAGGATTCAGATGATTAAACTCATGCTATGCAAGGGCAACCCACAGACCATTTTTATTTTGCTGAGCAATACAAATAATAGGATTCTTTCTTATGCAATTAATCATCCTCAAAGAACAATATGGACTACTATTTTTGCACTTAACAAATGGTAGCTTTTATGTAGAGAACTAAATGGGGCAATATTTCAGGCATTGACTGCACGTATCTGAGGACACTGGTGTTTATAAAGTTCAAGTATCTTTGCAAAGGATTCTACATTATCACCATGTCAACATAAAGTGATATTAAATGTAGCAAATACAACAAGCCCTCCATATTCACAGGTTCCGCATCTATAGATTCAACCAACCCAGATTAAAAACATTTGGGGAGGCTGTGCCCTCAGTGGTCCCCGAATCTGTCTCCTGTTTCAACAGTGTTTGGACAGGACAGACCCAGGGACGCCCCTTCTTCGAGCCTCTGACCAACCTCCAATCACCACCTTTTCCAGTCATCACCTTCAGAACCACCTCAGCCTCCAAGACCAGCCAACACCATTTTGTTTTGTTTTCTTTCACCTTAACTCCTTATTGCCAAATACCCATGAGCTCCCAAATTCATCAGAATTATTCCACACCACCAACCACCTGGTCAGCCTGCATCTGCGGGCCTCTTACACCTACCTCTCTCCAGGCTTCCATTTTGACTGCGATGATGTGGCTCTGGAACATGTGGGTCACTTCTTCCCAGAGTTGGTGGAGCAGAGGCACAAGGGCGCTGAGCGTCTCTTAAAGATGCAACGGCGGCCACATTCTCTTCCAGGACGTGCTGAAGCCTTCCCAAGGTGAGAGGTGAAACTCAGGACACCAAGGAAGCCACCATGGTCATGGAGAAGAGCCTGAACCAGGTCCCGTTGGAGCTGCAGGCTCTGGGTTCTACCAGCACAGACCCTCATCTCTGTGACTTCCTGCAGAACCACTTCCTGGGTGAGGAGGTGAAATTCATCAAGCAGATGGGCTACACCTGATTCACCTCCGTAGGCTAGCTGACCCCCAGGCTGGCTGGGTGAGGATCTCTTCCAAAGGCTTCCCTCAAGCAGGACCAGGAGCCCTTGGAGCCCAGAGGCCTTTGTGGAGCCTCTCTGCCTCCCTCTGGTATCCAGCTTTTGCCTGAGCCTCTCCCTGAAACCACTAGGCATCCTTTTAACCACCCTGGAGCCCTCTCCCAGGCAGTGGACCAAATGGAAACAATAACACTTTTTGTAGAAAAATTAATTAATTAAAAATATTTGGGGGGGAAATGTTACCTGTTGCTGACATGTATTATGTAGTTAGGCCTGCAATGATTGCTTCTGTACTGAACATGTACAGACTTTTCTTCTTTGTCATTATTTCCTAAGCACTATAACATCTATTTACATAGCATTTATATTGCATTAGGTATTATAAGTAATCAAGAGATTATTTAAAGTATACAGAAGGATATGTGTAGGTTATATGCAAATACTATACCATCTATATATATAAAAGCCTAAGTGACCAGCCGACTGGCCCGTAGCTATGATACACAATGACCACCAGGGGGCAGACGCTCAAAGCACAGGCATGGAAACATGGAACAGACTGATGAATCTTAGAGGGAAGATTAGAGGGAGGGGGGAGAGCGGGAAGAGATTAACTAAAGATCTTATATGCATACTAGAAGCCTGGTACATGGATTCATGCACTGGTGGGTTCCCTCGGCCTGGTCTGCGGGGATGAGGCTGAAACTGGCTCTCCAACATCCCCCGAGGCATCCCAGATTGTGAGAGGGGCCCCACCAGTGCACGAATCTGTGCACCAGGCCTCTAGTTTTATATAAAGGACTTGCGCAAACACAGAGTTTGGTATCAACAGTGGGGGGGATGTGGTCCTGGAACCCACACCTGGTAGTTACCAAGGGATGACTATACTCTATTCATATAGCATCTTCCCTAAAGCAAGACTATAAAGAACTGTTCTGTAAAATTCAATCACCACAATACAATATACAGATGGTGTATTATAGAATTATACATCTGAAACCTATATAATTTTATTAACCAATGTCACCAATTAAAAATATTTTTTAATAAAACTGCCAGCCAGAAAATGGATTATAACATCCAGTAACAAATAACACTCACAAAAGGTGAGGGCGCATCCAAACAATGGAATGCATTTTCATTTCACCTGAGGGCTAAGGAAGTGTTTGGGTTGCAGGTGTCGGGGAAGAATATTGTACAATAAAACTGGTAATCTCTCCATGGTTCTTAAGATTCAAATACCAGGCACGACAGTTTGGCAGGTAAAGTCCAGAACTCTGAGAATTCCAAGAGTCCTTAAGCTTATGAAGCCCAGCCTCTCTCCTAACACAGAATTCCCCACGTCATCCTCAACAGAGCATCATTGAGATTGAACACCTCCAGCAGCAGGTAACCCACCACTTTGCAGGAAGTTCTTCTGGGATCTACCTCCCTAAAACTCCTAACACTGAGCCACCTGTTATGCTGTCATTATTCAAGACGGCTGGGAGGCAGCATGGGGTTGTGCATAAGGGATCTAAAGGCAGCCTTATCACTTGGTAGCTGTGTCACCTTGGAGCTTCCATTCCTGCAGGTGTTAGTAAAAGGGGATGATAATCATAATAACGTATAAGGTTTTATAAGTATTAAATAATATTATACAATTAAAGCCCTTAAAATGGAGCCTGGCACAGAGTACGCACACATTAAATGTTAGCTCTGATCATGATAACACACCCTGCAAAGTCCTCTCCTCTCCAGATGAAATATCTCCACTTCCATCAGTCGTTCTGTATATCATGTAGTTCTTTTTAAAAGCTCCTCTGTTAGAAGCTCCTTCAGTACCAGGAGATCCACAGAAATGGATTTAATATTCTGATGTCGTGTATGTAACATGCCTCCAGTTCAGTGGGAACAGCGCCAGCCTTGACCTACACTACACGACTGTGTCAGTACTGCCTGTGATTGCCTTGGCTCTTTGCCTGCTGAGCCACATCACGGGTCCTTATCAGTCTTACAGCCCATTCTGTGCACAGCAGGGTCTGTGCCTTTGGAGGCTGCTTCTCCTCATGACTGTCAAACCAAGTGGTTTATTTGGGGGAGGAGGGGCATGAATACATTTATAACTATTAAACTAAATTGGAGACCTTTATTCTAATCTATTCCAATATATTATTATTCAGTCTTTCCTAATGTTGTGTCATGTGTGTCATGGGCTTATCAGAGGGGTGTTGTGTGTGTGTGTGTGTGTGTGTGTGTGTGTGTTTAGTTGATGGATCTTAATATGGAAGGGGGCCTGAACTAGAAGTAGCTGGGACCAGACAGTTGGGTATTGCCCATGTGGTAACCAAATTTCATTAAAGTTTCCTCTTCTTTTCTGCTGAAGATCATGGTTGAATCCAGTGCTTGAGGTACACAGCTCAGGTCATTATACACAACAGTTATTTGCAAAGTTTTTCCCGGGACTGCCTCTGAAATCTGCCATCAGAAACCGCACGGGGAGTGAGAAGTTGCCCTTGAGGGGGCCCTGTAGCGCCCCACAAAGGAAAGGAAGAGGTGCTGGGTAAGGGTTTTTGACTCTATGTGGGACTCAGAGAAGTGGGAGGATCATCATGCTGGCTGGGGAAAATGAAGAATTCTTTTTTGCCTTGAAACCTGTCTTTTGACAGCCTACTCCCTCAAGAGGCATGTGCTCATTTGGCCTGGGGGTTGCAGGACAGTGACCTGAGGTTTAACCAGAAAATGTCAATCACCCTCCAGTCTCTCTCCCCACAGCTTACATGCAGAGGGAAGAGGAGATCATTGGAAGAGAAACAGGGGAACAAAAAGCAATTGGGAAGACAAAGGAAAAGGAAAGGGATTTAAGATATGGGTGACCATGGTCACTTCTGAGTCTTTGCTCAAACCCCCTTTTGGAAAAAACGTATCTAACCCTGACCTACTAAGTGTCAACAGTATTCAGAGCACAGAACCAGAAATCTGGTCCCAATTGTATTATATCCACCAGTCCTGAGTTCCCTCCTCTGAAAAGTGAGGGCTGTGCGGCACCAACTAAAGAAACTCTGTGACCTTCTCACACGCTAACATTTTAGGCACTGGAGTGTCCACTCTGAAGGGTCAAGAAAACTGTAATAATCCAGAGGTTGCAGAAATCAGGGTCAGACACCGATGTACTGCTCCCCACACCCATCTGCGCACCTGAAGCATCTTGAAGCCAGGGAGGCCAGAGCACTGTCTGCCCCGGGTGGAGGAGTTCCAGGGAAGCCCACGGGTTGGACCAGAGAATTCCCCAAAGCAGCGGTCCACAAGCTGAGGGCTGTCTTGCCAGATCCCAGATCTCCGCAGTCAACACTGAAGAAAGGTTTTTCTGAAGCCGCCCCTTCCAATTCTGAAATAATCCCTGTTCGGATTATGGCTGGGACAGGGGCAACCCTTCACACCCTGGTAGTAACCGAAGAACATGGGCAAGGAAGGAAACGACCAGCTGTGTGCAGCTCAGTTTTCAGCAGTAAGGACAAGTCTGGAAATGAGGGAAGGAAACCCAGAATGCACCGGGAGGGGGGAAGAATGGGTGTTATTGTTGCATTTCCAGGGCCAGGCTGTACCTTTGGATTTGGCACACTTTTCCTGACAAAAAGCCAATGTTCTCACCACAAACATACCCGTCGGCATTAGTAACCACAGCATCTGAGACCATTGTCTGTAAAGATGCCAGATTGCCTGCAAATGGGCTGGAAATACTTTGGAGAATTTCACAAAAATCAGACACAGGGCAATTAAACTCTGGCAGAGGAGATCGGAGCAAATTCTCTAAAGACGGTGGGAGGAAGGACGCAAACAGCTCATACACACCAGCCTTTCAGAATTGGACACGTTTGCCTCAAGCCCACTGAATATCTGCCGTTCTGCCTCACGCCCTTCACCGGAAAGCAGCTTTAGATGTTTGTTTTTTGAGGGGCTCGGTGTCCTTGAGGGCCGATGCCTGAGGTTCCACTGCCACCAAGTGGAGCCACGTGGTGTGGCAGCGGTGGACGTTCTCTGGGCCTAAAGCGAGAGGCAGAAGTGACATGCGGTCTATTTCTCATCTGACAATGAAAGATGAGAGGAAGGTTGTGAACCTCATTTTATTATCATCCATTTAGTTCAAAGGAGGTGTCATTTTGGTTCCCAGCCATCAATCAAACTGGCTTCGCTCAAGGAGCTGGCTGGGCTAAATGTGCACCTTCTATTTCCGCCCAGGTGGAGACCGGCTGGGAAACCCTCTTCTCCAGGATCATCACAGTGATTGTCAGAGGCCAAAACCTCCAGCCCCCAAGATGTTCCTCGTTTAACAACAGAGTTTAATTATGTGCAGGAGGCATAGACCTGAAGACAGATTATCAGCTGCGGGGGCGGGGGGGGGGGTTACAAGTGTGGTTGGATGGGAGGAGCCTTCCTCTACTGCCTTTTAAGAACAAGAAATCAGTGAAATGATGGCCCACTAGTCCAAACGCCGGAGACCACTTTGTTTCTTAGAAAAGAAACCAATATCTGCCCTGGCTGGGTGGCTTGGTTGGTTAGAGCATTATCCAGTACACCAAAAGGTTGCAGGTTCGATTCCCAGTCAGGGCACATGCCTAGGTTGCAAGTTCCATCCGATCAGGACACATATGGGAGGCAACCAATCAATGTTTCTCCTCTCTCTTCTTTTCTTCTTCTTCTTCTTTTCTCTCTCTCTCTCTCTCTCTCTCTCTCTCTCTCTCTCTCTCTCTCTCTCTCTCTCTCTCTCTCTCTCTCTCTCTCTCTCTCTCTCTCTCTCTCTCTCTCTCTCTCTCTCTCTCTCTCTCTAAAGACAATAACAACATATTCCTGGATAGGGGTATTAAAAATAAAAAGAAACCAATTTCCAGCGATGAATCCCTTTCCATGCCCTTTTCTGTTTTGGAAGAGGTTGACTTGAGTCCTGTGGATACAAAGGCCTGGAGACTCTTTTCTAACATGAAAGCAGATCCAGGTGTTCTGTGGCTCTACCTTTTACTCAGCCCCCTGCGCTTGGCTGATCGGCCAGAGACCGAAGGGAAGACAAGAGGGAAGGAGATGGGTGTTTCCTGGGTACCTACACTGTGGCACAACGATAAATGTGAAACTATATTGCTTTTTCCTCACTGGATTATGCCCTCTTGGGAAAGACTAGAACAATCTAGAAGGATATAAATCATTATTTGTAATTCCCTTTTTCAATACAAAACTTGGCTAATGTTGGTGCAAAGCCATTGAGAAACCATTAACCAAGTCTTTGTGGAATGTAAATAGCTCTAATTCAGCGTGTCATCCATTCACCAACCTCACCTCACCCCTTTCCACGCTAGGCTTTCCTTCTGATGAAAAGCAGCGCGTCGGGCTCTTGGGAGGTAACTCCTTAACTCAGCTGCACGTGTTTAAATGCCATTCCGTTTCTGTGTATGGGATCTTATTTTTTCCTTCACCAAAGAGCAATTTCCTATTGCCCTGCCCCACAGAGCTGTTTCGGGGATTAAGTAAATAATAATTGTTAGGTACCATGACTTTTCCGAGAGAGATTATGAACCAATTCTGTCAAATAAGGGATATGGATTTATTTCCTCCTACAATTAAACCGCAGGTGAATCGTCAAACTGGCTTTCAGGTCTCCTTCCTGCCTTAACTGGGCAGCCAAGCCCCATTCCACAGTCGCCACTCCTCTGCCTTCCTGGAGCAACACCTCAGGGTCCGTGATCCCTCTTGGCTTCCCCCCTCACCCTCGCCACTCACCTCAAAAGTTGGGGAAAACACGCTTGTCTTAGACACATACAGAGAAGAGAAGGAGAAACACATGGAGAAGGGTCAAGCCCACACCCAGTGGAACTGAACCTTGAACTTCAGCTGCAACATGACTAATGTCCACCACTCCTACTGCTGCGGCCACAGGGGAAGAACTGCCACCACATCTTTATTGCATCTCCAGGTAAAGAACGGTGAATAATTTATAATACAAGGCACACTCCCCTCCACAGACAATGCCTGCTTACAGAATGCAGGAGGTGAACACAGTGCAAATCTAGTTACAGAGGCTGGGATTCGGATCAGTGCCAGGAATATACAGAAAGAACAGTGCACAAATGCTCCTGGCAAAGAGAGGTCAGGCTTGTCCACACTAGTGAGGTCCAGAAGGGAAACTCCTGGTAAAACATGGAGGGGAAGATAGTTGGGGGGTTGACAGCAAGTTTGGGAGTGACCCAAGCTGGGGAGGGGCTGTGAATTGGTGCTGGGGACCTACAGAGGCCCTGTGTTAGCACCATAGAGATGAGTAAATTTAGGGTGACCTTTGGCCTCTCCTACCCAGGCAAGAAGGAAGGGTGTCAGCAAGTTGGCTTCCAGTGTAGATTTAGGCAGGGAGGGGCTGAGAGACAGCTCTTTGCTATTATTGCTCAGATTTGCAGTTCTGCTCTGGGCTGAGCAATCCTTACAAAACCAGCATTCAGTGCTGGCTTCTGAAGTTGAGTGAGCTGGAGCTTGAGTCACATGTACAGTGACAGAGAATAGTAAGAGAGAAACCCTGAGTTGCCTGAGACTCCCACCTATAAGAAGCATCCTAAGTATGGAACAAAGGAAAAACTACGGTGCTGCTAAGAACTGGAGTGTCCTAGCCCCCAGCAACTCCAGAACAGAACAGTTGTTGAGGTTGGCAGGGCGGCCGGGTCTTCCCACGTTATGTATGGCTTCCTTAGAAGACTCGGGATTTGACCCACATC